AAATTATGTTAATCTATGGCAAACTCACTCCAGCTGAGGTACGTTGGTCTAAAAATCATTAAAGCTCTGCGAGATAGTCGGTTTTTGAGGAAGAAACGAAGAGGAAGGCTAAATGAAGAATAGTGCATAATTTCTTTTCATTTATGATTACATTGTCTGCCTGTTTGTCTGTAAAAGGGTTGTTTTCAGATAAGTGGTGCTTCTAGAGACTTATAGCTTCCTCCTCATATTTACCCACACGCTGTAGAGGATTTGCAAAACTTTAAGAGTTAGATCTTTAAGATCTGTTGATCTATAATGCTTGGTATCCCTCAAAAGAATGACGAAACTCTGGGTAAGGGAAGTGCATACGTTAAAGACGCTTCCAACCAAATAATTAGGATTCACAATCTATCACTTTACAAATTTTTACTTTTTTCTCCAATTTGCTCACACTATCTGGTTAAACAGTCATCCTTCGTCGTTTTAGAGACTTGTGCTCCTGTTTCCACCTTCCTCATTGGCTAGCATGTGGCAGAGGTATGTTCTGAGTCAACAGAAAACCACTCAAGGGTTACGATCAAACACTATAAATACTTCCAAATGAACAGCTTAGGCATCGTAGGGCCTTTATTCATCAAGAAACACAGTCGATCAGCCAACCCGCCTTTAGGATATTGGGTACACCAGGCGCCCTTCATTAAAGACTTCTTCACAAACTACAGTACGAACACGAAGAGTCGTGGTTTCCGTCTACCACAGAGATGACCATCCACACGGCTGACCACATTGCGGCACCGCTACGCACAGTCAAGCACAGGGCTTCTCCCATTGCAGTACCAGCTCAGATGGCCACGAACACATCTTTCCACACCGGGGCACCACCACAGACGGCGCCAAAACTCAGCACACAAGTCAGTACAAACTAAAGTAAATAGGCTGCAAAGGAAATGGAATTTGTAAGATGGCCATGCATTGTACATTGAAGTTGGTAACTATGGGCGAGAGTAAGCAGAGCTGCCAAATATGAAGGCATGTGCGTGGACATCTGTGCTCGTGCCGCAATGCGAGAAACCGTGTGCTTGGCCGTCTGTTTTGGTGACACAATGTTGTCAGTCATAGGAATGGCCGTCTCCGAGGTACACGCAAACCACGACTGCGCCATTGTATTTGCAATGAAGTTTGTGAAGATGCCTTCAACACCCTTGGAATTAGAGGAGCTAGCTGACATTGTGCAAGCATTCCTCTTGTAATTTCCTGCTTTTAACACGGATTAAATGCTACTCAATCTAGTTGTCTTGAGCATGTACTCAATTCATTACGAGGCTGTTAATGCGAACGGAGCAGCAGCAGCAGTAGAAAGCCACCAAATGAAAAGTAGGTGGGGGAATGTGGTGAGACTCCTGAAGTAAGTAATGTCACATGGAAGTCTTAGTCGGATTAGGGACACGCGTAGTCCAAATACCTCAAAGGGGAATGTTTTGCATTTCCTGCGAAAACAGTTTAGTCCACTGACCCGTTTTGAGCAATCATTATGCTGATTATTGTGTATACCAGGCAATAAAGTGTGAAGCAAAGTAAGTTGGTACATGTGAGTGAGAGATGAGTATAAATGGCATTTACCTTCCACCTAATCCACTGTTGCAGTTGTCACATCCATTTTCAGGATATGATTGGGATAAAAATAGGAATTTTTAACTTGACTTCATCATACAAGTGCTTACGTAGCTTTCATTTGAGGCGTTGCTGTGCCCTTAGGTGGATGTACCAGTATTACTTCTGTTTGTTGCAATGTGCAATGTATGCACGGGGAGTGGCGAAAATTGAGACGCATTTGTATTCTATAATTCCGACTATGCTTCGAGATCATAGATCATGGTGGATCATACATGACACAGTTTTTCCATCGTTTTCGACAAGTAAGTGTAGGCATTGTACCTAAAATTATTGGCAATTTGAGGATATCCGTTAGCTCCCACTATGGAGCCCGAAAAATGGCGCAACACGGAGGCAGACCTCTTGACGAGCTGGCAATGTTCGTAAAGAAGAAGCGTTTCGAGTTTCTCTCAAACTGCCTAATTTATGCGTGGTTAAAGCTCGGTTCCATCAAAGAGAATAGTTACTTATTGAGAAGAGTGGACTGGAATGCTATGTAGATGGCTATACTTCTGAGCAAAAATCAAATTATTTACACTGCAAAGCATGAAGTCAAACGAAATATCAAGTCGCTACAATCTAACTATTTAATTTAAACTTA